AGCAGAGAGCCCGATGTGGGGCTCAATCCCAGGACCCTGGGATCATGACCTAAGCCAAAGGCAGACGCTTAACGACTGAGCCACCCAGGTGCCCCGAATATTGACTTTTTAAGAGTGTACTTTTCTATTATGTACTTGTCTATAGTGTACTTGTCTATTTCTAAGAGTTATGTATTTCCAAACAAAAGTTAATTCTGGAAATTCTTGTGTATGAACAGAGGTTTTTGGCCAGAGGAGGCGCTATTTGAAAGAGCCAGAAGATTAAGTCGGCACTAATTACAAACAAATGACTCTGTCTTAATATTAAACTAAAATTTCCCTGGTTCACTGGTACAAGGCTAATTTTACCTAGAACGTAGACAAAAAGACAAGTGATAGGTAAGAAAAAAAATTAACAAGCTTTCATTAAACGCCAGACAGCTATCTGGCACACCTCACAACAGCTGATTATTGAATAACTTTAAATAACAGGTATTTTTTTTATCTGTTCCTTTAAATTGTTTTTGTGGGAAGCTGTGCTGTGTATTGAGGAGGGGATAATTGGAGGGTGGGGATGGAGAGAGGAGAGGATGAAAAGATACACTGATCAAGAAGGACTAGGGGACAGGGAGTTATGCAAGAAACAGTTTATGGGAATGGGTCATACAGGACACTGCGGTCTTTCCACAGAGAGAATGGGTCGTACAGGACACTGGCGGTCTTTCCAAATTTCTCAGGTTTAGTCCTTGCTGATAGTAAGCAAGTCTGGTTAGAGAGGCTTAAGCAATTGCCTGGCTGTTCACTAACAGGTCCATGGACTTCTCCGTTAAGGTCACCTAAAACTTGAAAAGCTATTCAGTTGCCAAAGAGTCTCAAAAATCACTAAACCTTACAACCCGAGGGAATCAAGAGGTCCCAAATTTCCATTTTTCTAGCTATAATTATTCAAACCATTCTGGTCCATGGTAGGGAAGAACAGGAGGTTGCAAGGTAGACAGGGCCTGAGAGTTGCTTCTTGTTGGTCTCTAAATGAGGTGTATGTATCCCTCAAATAATACCAGCATTGTATTGAAAATCTGTAACTAATCAATGATAAAGGGTTCTTCTGAAAATTTAAGAGAGCAAACAAGTATCCTTAAGTTTAATTTCAAAAATCCCTGGAATTTATGACAAATTGGGGTTACAATTTTTTTTAAGTGTTCATTAAATTTTTTTTTTTAAGATTTTATTTATTTGACAGAGAGAGACACAGCGAGAGAGGGAACACAAGCAGGGGGACTGGGAGAGGGAGAAGAAGGCTTCCCGCCGAGCAGGGAGCCCGATGTAGGGCTTGATCCCAGGACTCTGGGACCATGACCTGAGCAGAAGACAGAACCTTAACGACTGAGCCACCCAGGCGCCCCTGGTGTTACAATTCTGAGATTTATCTTAATCATGGGTTTGTAAATGGACAGCTGGAGCTTAATTTTTCCCATTCACATGAAAAACTGTTTCAACAATGTCCTATCTAAGGGTTCTCAGCCTAGGAAAGGAGGGGAAAGGTGATGTTGGTCCCCAGGGGACATTTGGCAATGTCTGGAAATGTTCTTGGTTGTCGTAACTGGGGAGTGCTGTTGGCAACTAGTGGACAGAGAGCAGAGATTCTACTAAACATCCTGCAATGCATAAGACAGCCCCTCACAACAAAGATGGATCTGAACCAAAATGTCAATAGTGTTGAGGTTGAGAAAACCTGGTCTACTCCAAATGTTTTAAACATTATTAACTCATAATACTGTATGGTGAAATTAAGGAGTCTTTATTATTTTCATTAATAACCAATTTCACAATGGCAGTTTGAAAAACAGACCCTGCCCTAAAGTTGTATGTAAGCTATACAGAAGGAAAAAAATGACACCTTTGTGATTTGTGAAAGAAAAAAAGAAAGGAAGAAAGAAAGAAAGAAAAGAAAAAAGAAAAGAAAAGAGTGGAGAGAAAAAATTAGCTATTTTTATTCATAAAGGCATTCACATACAAATTTCAATGAACCAGAAGAATCATCTTCTCAGACAACACATTGAGAAAAGTGAGGAACAAAATAATTATAAACTATCCTACTAATAAAACTAATCAATTATCAAGTTGTTATTCTTCAAATATATTAATAAGCCATCTGAAGATCAGTGCTCTTGTCAGAAGCTATAACAGCTAGAAGATGAATGTAACAGTATGTATTTATTATGAAATTTTTTAGTTCCCTTGGTTATAGGGCAATTTAAAAAAACTAAAGAAAACTATGGAAGGAGTGATCATGTGATTTGGGAGATACTCATGTCCTCAGCCATTTACCTCCAACCCACTTTCTGTCGACTCCCTTTCCTGGTAGATTTCCCTTCCAGTTAGTAGGGACCATTTGCTTTGGTAATCACTGGTTTAAATCCCTTGAGAACAATAGCTAACACTTTCTAAGCATCCACTAATAAGATAAGCAAAATCATTTTTATAGCTCCTCTCAAAAAATCTTTGGTATTAAAATGGCGAAATGAACAAGAATTTCATCAGAATAAGAACCTTACACAGATCAATCCATGGGGGAAGTGCTCAATAAAAATTTGTAGTGAATGAATGAGTGAATCCTTCTTTTTTATTTTTTTTTTAAAGATTTTATTTATTTATTTGAGAGAGAGAATGAGAGAGAGAGAGAGAGAGCATGAGAGGAGGAGGGTCAGAGGGAGAAGCAGACTCCCTGCCGAGCAGGGAGCCCGATGCGGGACTTGATCCCAGGACTCCAGGATCATGACCTGAGCCAAAGGCAGTCGCTTAACCAACTGAGCCACCCAGGCGCCCCTGAATCCTTCTTTTTTAAGCTCTATGCTAAATACGACAAACCTAGATGGGTTTCTTTTAGCTTAGGTTTTAGAGTCATATTTTCATAAATACCCATCATTTTACAAATGAATCTATAATCTAAGCTTTGCCATTAAGACAATGTTAATTTCTTCTGCTTTTTGGCCTCCTGGCCCTGATGCCTGAAAAATGAGTCAATTACTTTTGATAACTATTGCAAATGTCTTACTAATCCCACTGGAAATGTAAACGTGATCAGAGGACAAAGAAAGGAAAGAAGCTTAGCCAGATTTTCAGCCACTGCTTAAACTAACTCTAGCACTATGGGAATTACTTTCTTCAGCAATATCTTAAAATCTGGGATTATTTTAAGAAAAATAAACTTTTACAAAATGTTAGTTAGCTATAAACTCATTTCTTTTCCGTTTCCTGGTAATCATTATTATGAATTTTCTTAAGTATTAGACTCTTCTATTCACTTTGATAGTTTTTGGGCAACAACTCTAGAAGAGCCCCAACTCTTAGAGTCAGTCTGCTTAGGTGAAAGGAGGAGATAGAGAGGAATAGAAAAAGCAGTAAGCAAAATGTCTAAGGCATCACTTTGGAATGAACTGAATGTGAATAAAATTGGGAAAGGAAAGTAAGAAAAGAGAATGGGCAAGTAGGACCACCTTTGAGACAGAGGGGCACCATGACAGGCATGAGATTCAACCATGGGGTTACAACACTGCTATCCATTTAATTATTAGAAATATTGAGATTTGGCTCCCAAATATTTTTCCTATTCAGATCCTGCTCTTTGTGTATGCTTTTTATTGTTTCAAAAAGTCTTTTTTTTCTTAATAAGTAATTCTTCAAATCCAGTTCACACACCAGGATTTAATATGTGCAGCAAGTTCCAAATACACTGTATTTCAGCAATACTTAGTGTGTTCCTACTATGTCTCAGGCCCTGAGCAAACAGCAGGCACCCCCACAAGTGTAAGACCCTTTTACTTTTGGCAAATTTTCACTAAGTACTTTCTTGGTCCCCAAACAAGTATCTAAGTCCACCAGACTTTTAAGCCTTTATAAACATGTACAATCCTCCTTTCTGAAAGCTTTTGAGTGAGCACTCAGCAGTCGGATTCTTCTCCTGCAGAGTGGCTTTATGATATGGGTTTGTTCACATGTTTCCCACAGGTAGTTGTGTATGTGACTGCATTGACATCTTTCAACAGGGCTTGATTCAAAGGTAAATTAAGAGTTTTAATTTAGAAAGGAAAAAGAGAGAGAGACATCCTCTCTGCTCTGAGAGTGCAAACGCCTAGGGACAGGGAGCTCACCAAACTGACTCCATTTCCTCACCTTGCCTCCAGCAGGCTCCCACATCTGTGAGCACGGGGACAGCCAGAGAGCTGACGTGCTTCCTGGATCCTCTACCACTTGTGGGATTGCTTGGCAATCAGGTGTGTCCTGTGTGTTAGAGACCATGTAAGAGTTCTACAGGAATTTAATTCTCAAGCGACAACTATGTGAAGCAGGAACAACTGCTCCCATTTTTTAAAAAGACTTTTATGTATTTGAGAGAGCGAGCGAGCAAGCAGGGGGGAGGGGCAGAGGGAGAAGCAGACTCCCCGCTGAGCAGAACCCTGGGATCATGACCTGAGCCGAAGGCAGACGCTCAACCGACTGAGCCACCCAGGCGCCCCCAATTGCTCCTATTTTACGAGGTAGCTGAGGTCCCGAGCACACATAGTAAACGGTAGAGCAGGGAGGTTAAGACAAACCTTGTGATTCTATACCCGTGCTCCTAACCACCTAGCTGCCTCCCTGCAGTAAGTCCATCATCCCTGGACAGCTCTTAAGAATCCCAGTTCTAAGCATCAAGAGATAAGACCCAGGGGTCTCCCTGGCTCCTCTGTGGCGGGAATACGGGTCCTCGTCTCCAGGGCACGCTCCGCCCGCCAGTGCAGGGCTGGAATGTGCCTGTTGGGAGCATTCACAGCCGGGAGGCAGACGTGAACCCGGCCAAAAAGTGGCGGCGGAACTCTTCTGGGCGGGAGCCACCTCTCCGGCTGCGTCCGGTTCCCGCCCCTCAAGCCGGGCAGGGAGGCCGGGCTCGGGTTGGGCCCCCACCGGCAGCGGTAGCCCGCAGCTGGAATCAGCCGCCGCCCCGGCCGCGCCGGGAGAGGCGAGGCGGGGCGGGGCCGGGCGCGACGGGAAGGGGAGGACGCGCCCGCCGGGCTGCAGCCGCCGCCGCGCACCGAGCGCCGCGATGGGGCTGGAGACTGAGAAAGCAGACGTCCAGCTCTTCATGGACGACGATGCCTACAGCCACCACAGCGGCGTCGACTACGCGGACCTGGATAAGTTCGCGGACTCGGGCTCCGACCGGGATCCCCACCGGCTCAACTCGCATCTCAAGGTGAAGAAGCCTGGGGCGGGCCGTGACCTGGGCCCCGCCAAGGCTTGGGGACACGGGTGCCCCGTTTAACCCCGCCCGGACCCCAACCCCCACCCTCGCCACTGGGTCAGCCGCCCAGGGTCTGGGACCCGGAACTCACATGCGGTGGGGTCGCCTGTGTAACTAGGAATTCTTAGCCAAATTCTTGTGTGCCCAACCTCACCCTAAGAGAAGGTAGGGCACCCAGCCAGCTCCTTTCTCCTCGCTTCTCCCACTGGAGCACTCCTGGTTCCCCGGGCTTTAGGTTGGGTGACAGTTGGGGATTCCTGTGTCTTGCCTCTGCAGGTGGGCTTCGAGGATGTGATTGCAGAGCCGGTGTCTACACACTCCTCTGACAAAGTGTGGATTTGCAGCAGTGCCCTCTTTGAAATCAGCAAATACGTGATCTATAAGTTCCTGACGTTGTTCCTGGCTATCCCCATGGCCTTCACTGCAGGAATTCTCTTTGCCACCCTCAGCTGTCTGCACATCTGGTGAGAAGGGGCACACCGGGGTGGACCGACCTTCTGAATCGTAGGAATGTTCTTTGCCACCTGCCCTCTGCACTCCCCTTCTCCCAAGGCGGGCTTGCCAGAAGAACACGCATCAGCTCGCCACAGTAGCAAGAACCCGGAGGCCTTGAAGGGCAGTGTGCTTTCTTTAGAATCATAGGTTGAGTTAGGAGTTTAAACAGAAGTCCTCAGGTGTGAATTTCCTTCTGACGTTAATAAGGCCCAGCTGACTGGAGGTGGAGACCTGGAGGCCATGCTTCCTGCCCCAGGCTGTTCTCTTACAGAGCTGAGTTATGACTTGTGCCAGTGGTTCTGGGCAAGGCTCTTATTTCTTTTATCACCTTTTATTCAGTCACCACCTGTGCCTGGGCTAAAACAAAAGTGATCTCTGAGCAGAATGCCAGTGACAGTATAATTGAACAGAGATGTCAGGCCTGGTTAAGAGTGCTATGGAGGGGCTGCTCCAATCCTGCCACTAGCAAATGGCAAGGATGAGACCAGAGGAGATGCTGTGTGTGTGCAATTAAGCTGAGGGGCCCCCAACAGAAATGAATGAAAACTCAAGCTGCAGGATAATGAAATGAGAAGGACTCCAAAGTACTTTTTCACCTATGAGACAACATGGGGAGGGGCATCAACTTAAAGGGAAAATAACTATAGAAACCTACTGGGCATTAATAGGATGTTTTGAGTAACTTTATTTACACTCAAAATGCATCATAAAACTTTGGAGAACTTTTTAAGCACTAAAAAATCTTTAAAGGAAAATGTTATATTTATGGTTTTAAAAGCTACTCACTTTGTCCTGAGAGAAAGAGCATTATGATCATCCCCCAGTATTGCAACAGTTGTCAATATTGTGCTTTAGGGCAGTCCTGGCAAAATGTATAATCCTAAATGCCTCCATGTCTTTCCTAATCACTTCATATGCTATTGCCACACCCTAACACATGTTGTGTTCATTGTTAGAAGTTAAAAATTATTCTCAATTCCCCTTTACCTTGTAAATCAATTTCTTTTTTTTTTTTAAGATTTTATTTATTTATTTGAGACAGAGAGAATGAGAGAGAGCATGAGAGGGAGGAGGGTCAGAGGGAGAAGCAGACTCCCCGCCGAGCAGGGAGCCCAATGCGGGACTCGATCCCGGGACTCCAGGATCATGACCTGAGCCGAAGGCAGTCGCTTAACCAACTGAGCCACCCAGGCGCCCGTAAATCAATTTCTTTTAGTTTCTTAGCTAGCTAGTTAGCTCAAGCAGATAAATTTATTGAGTGCTTAGTTTGTGCTGGGCACTGGGCCAAGGATGAGTAAGATGTAGGATCTGCCTTCAGTTTACTCAGCATATCAGGGCAGCTGGCTATGTACAGAAGTAGATGCTGAGGAAAACTGTTAAACCTGTTGAGGAAGAGGGAGGCACTGGGAAGGCTTCATAGAGAAAAAGGAGTCTAAAAAGTCTTTTAAAGGATAAATAAAAATTCTGGGTGCCTGGGTGACTCAGTTTGTTAAATGACCAACTCTTGATTTCAGCTGAGGTCATGATCTCAGGGTCAAGAGATCGAACCTTGTGTCAGGCTTGGCGCTCAGTATGGAGTCAGCTTGAGGATTCTTTCTCTCCCTCTTCCTTTTTCCCTCCCCCTACTCACATGCTGTCTCTCTCTCTCTCTCTCTCAAATAAATAAATAAACCTTAAAAATAAAAAAGGATAAATAAAAATTCAAGTAAGTAAAAGACAAAGAACACCAATTTAATTTGATCACTAAAGATGGAAAACAACTAAAATATATTGAAAGTGACAAAAGACTGCCAGAGGAATGAAAATCTCTGCCTTTATACATAAGCAAATTCACAAAGGCCAGATGTATAGTTAGCTCATAGTCTGACAGTAGCACATGGATTTTTTAAAAGAGGCCTAAGCCAGCACATAAAATTTTGGATTCCCAATTAACCAAAACCAGTCATCTCACCTCTTTCAAAAATATGAAAAACTGAGTGACCACATAGCATATTGTGAAATGTTGGCTATTAAGCTGTTTGGAAATACAGAGTGCCATATTTATAATCAACAAAGCTGGGCTTTCCTAAAGCACTCGCTGAGGAATTGAAAACAAAATGGTTTGCATTTACTAAATGGTGGAAAGATAGAAGTAAAGCTACAGTTACCAAATGATGCTTCTCTTCACCTGGCTCTCCTGAAAACAGAAGGTGTTTTTTTGTGTGCGGTGCTTCCAGTGGTGAATCATCAAACCATTTCTTTTTCAGACACATAAAATGTATTATTTAACCTCAGCTTGTTTTTCAAATTACAGTCATGTGGGTCATTAATATTTAACAATCATCCATTCATCATCAGGCAGCTGTGATTGCAAGTAGAGGAGTTACTTCAAACAAAAAAATGCTTAAAAGTTAGTTTAAAGCTATCTTGATAAAATAGATTTATCATTAATGGATTACATTCCCATGACATGATAAGACCAGATCAAGGAGAGGCCTTATAAAAAAACAAACCTATTTGAGTGAGCCTTTCTTCTGCATTGTTTTACTTCTCCTTCTTTCTTTTTTTTCTTTTGGCAGGGGGTAGGGGTTGTTATTACCAGAGGTTGGGAACCAAAGTTATGAAAGTGTGCAGTATTAGATATTTAAACCACATCACATAGTCACAATGGATCTGATTTTAGATTCCTTAAACAAACAAATAACAACACCACCACCACCCAGAACTCAAACTGGTGATGTTGGATCCTAGGTCAGAAGTACAGGTCATGAGGGACCAGTGGGTTGTTTTGATACCATACCACATTCAGACTGAGATAGCCACAATTTGGCAAGAGCAGATTATTGGTCATAAGGGGATCATATCAAAGAAATGTGGCTGGAGCTCCCTTACCGTTTGTTTTTGCTGGGATGCAGTTCAAATAGATAGTCCAACTTATAGAAATATAGTAGTAGCAATTTCACTTCTGGAAGAGATTTTTAATATAGCAAATTGCTATGACAATGCAATCTACATGACACTACAGTTAATACAAAGCTAAGAAAAAGTCTCTGTCCCAAGGGCTTTGTCCAATGGAGGAATGTATAATCTTATAAGTTATAAGATTTCTTTAAGAAATGTTTAAATCGGGTGCCTGGGTGGCTAAGTCGGTTAAGTGTCTGCCTTCGGCTCAGGTCATGATCCAGGAGTCCCTGGATCAAGTCCCTCATCAGGCTCCCTACTCAGGGGGGAGTCTGCTTCTCCCTCTGCCCTTCACCCCCTTCGTGCTCTTTCTCTCAAATAAATAAATAAAAGCTTTAAAACAAAAAAAAACAGAAGTGTTTGGATCATTGGATCCTCTGACCCACAGTGAGAGAACAACAACTTAAAGAAAATAAAATGAGTTTACCACATCCTATCAACTGAAGTCTCAAAAGTAAGCAGTTGTACTTTGCTGAACTGGAAAGTCCACTTTTGTCCTGTGCTTCATTGCCTTTTAGGACATAGAGATCTAAGAAGTTATGGGATAGAAAATGTCTTATCCTAAGGAAGAGTGGAAAGTATATTCTCAGTGAAGTAGATTTGGTTAGGAAGCTTTCTGATTTAAACTTCAATTTGAGATTGTTTTGTTTTCACTGTATATTCTGACTTCAAATTGTTCTACTTATATATGATGGCATCATATACACATTATAATGACAGCATCATATAGACATTTCAAGGGTGCATAGTAAGTGTTAATCCTTATAGCCAATCTGTAAGAGCTCCTGTTCTACTTTCATTTGTAGTGATATGCCCAAGGCCACACATCAAGTGAGAAACATTATAAAAAGTCAAAAGTTGTCATCATTCGGGATTCTATTCAACTGTTTAGCTTTGAAACACCTAGTAATTAATTTTCTTTAAACATTTCTTTAAGTCTTAGCACTTGGAACAAAATATGAGATAAATATAAATGTGTATGCAGTCCATACGAATAATTCAGTATTCTAAAAATATCTCAATCAATCCGACAGTTGCCTGATCTTCTCTTCCCTGTTGGCTAAGCACAGCAGACCTTTATTTAAGTCACATTTTAATAGCAAACCAAGAAAATCAACCTTACTTCCTTGTGCCCATACAGATAATAATAAAAATTCCATTCAGGCTACCAGCAATTCCTGAGAATTCAAAGATACTTTTGTGCTCAAATAGCACTACTACAATAGAGAGCATTATTCAGAGGATTACAGAGAAAATTAATCAGCCCGAGGAATATGAACATTTGCAGTCATCTTAAGAAAAGACATATGGAAAAAATGATTTCAGGATAGTCTGGGTTTTTTTGTTTTGTTTTGTCTAAGAGTTCTGACATGATTGCAGAGTTCTTTTAACTCTACCACACAGCTCTTTTCAGTGTATGTAATTATTAAGAAAAATTAGTAATATTAAGCATGACAGTGCTAAGTTCACTTCAGCCCAACCTTTAATAAAGGTCAAGGATGTCTTCACTTAAAGAGCTTCCATTCTAGTAGAAGAGACAGAAGTATAGCTATCTACTTATGATACCCTTTGGTAAATTTAAGGATTAAGAAATGTTGCTGTAGTACTTTAGAAGCACAAAAAGGGAGTGTCCAACCCAGCCTGGCTCAAGGGGTAGGGAAGTGGAATGAGGCAACGGGAAAGGCTACCAGCAAGCACAACTCCAGGGAAATACGAAGAATTAAGCAGGTTGATGTTTAGGGGCAGAGATCAGGTAGATATATTTACCGTTTTATTTATTTTTTTGTTTTACTGTTTCAGATAGCATGCCACCTATAGAAAGAATACTGGTGTTATCATCTATGTGCCTGTTTATTTTTTTAAGCAACATATCTCTGTGCATCTTATCACTATGTGGGTCACTGTTTATTGACTTGTTTCAAATGTTCAAATTTAGGTGAATTGGGCCATTATTATATCTTTTCATGCATGTGTAAGAGTCAGTGGCCTCATTTGGCAACACCAATAATCCTTACACAAATCTCTTCCTCCATTTCAGGATTATAATGCCTTTTGTAAAGACCTGCCTAATGGTCCTGCCTTCGGTGCAGACAATATGGAAGAGTGTAACAGATGTTGTCATTGCCCCATTGTGCACAAGTGTAGGACGCAGCTTCTCTTCTGTCAGCCTGCAACTGAGTCATGACTGAACACTGGGACCCCAGGTCTGGAGTTCTGGATACTGTAATACTTCTTGGTTGTTATAATGTAAAAGCACTACTGTTCTGTTCTAAGCATTCCCAACTGTTCTAATTAAGAAAATTTTTAAGATTGGCAACCACATTTAGAAATGTTTATTGGCAGATCTTTTCAAATAATGCCTTTCTAATTAATAGTCAAGGATTTCACTTCTAACTTTAGAGCCAGAATTATACAGTGGGTTGGCAACACTTAATTTTAAAGGCAGTCTTTACTTTGGTACAAAAGTACACATTTTATAATGATGAATTTATAAAGAGCAAGGGACATTTCTCAAACACTATAATAGTTCTGTGCACAACTGCTTATAAAATTATGGAATTTCTTATTTTTTTACTCTGAAAGTAATACTTTTAAAATTACCTTTGCAGATAAAGTCATGGGAATACTTACAAAAAAGATATACAAAGATCCTAGAAATTATAGTAACAAAAGCATGCAGTGGTGATAGGCGCTATCAAATATAATAGGACAAATAAATGTGAAAATAGATAATGAACGTGTGTACCTTTAAATAAGATATTGTTAACCTACAGGTCTATTTAATAAGATGTTTCATTGTACTGTATATTTTGTACTTAATGTAAATGTTGCTCTAATCAGATTGCTTTTAAGTACTTTTATTATATTTGTTATCTTGTTGAACTAATATATAGAATGAGTAAATGTCTTTCATGGGGAACTTCATTGGTGAGATTGCACTGTCTTGATTATGTAAGCATATATATATCTTCTTTGGGAATAGAATGTAAAAGAGTGATATACAAGGTTTTTCTTTCTAACTTTTCCAAGCAAAATCCTGAAATGTTTTATGACTGAGCTTTTTCTGGCTGTGACCTTAAAATTAATCCAAATCTAATTGGTATTTCATCTTGGAGATACTTTCGCTCTTGTAGTTAGAAATTAAACTTGTGGGGCACCTGGGTGGCTCAGTCAGCTGGGTGTCTGCCTTTGGCTCGGGTCATTATCCCGGAGTCTGGGGATAGAGCCCCGCATGAGGCTCCCTGCTCAGTGGGGTGTCTGCTTCTCCTTCTGCCTCTGCCCCTTCCCCCTGCTTGCGTTCTCTCTCTCTCAGATAAATAAAATCTTTAAAAAGAAAAAAACAAAAAAAGAAATTAAACTTGTATTGCATTCCTGTTAATGTCTCACTTTACCTTCAAGTAATACTGGTGCTATTTAATAACATTTTACGTAAAGGCTATTTCTGACACTTAAGTACTATTTCAACTACAGTGATTCATGGAGAGAGACTTACAGGAAAGTTGTCAATTTTTTGGGCCCATGCTATTGAGCTACTATACATATATATATATATATATATATATATATATGTAAAAGACTAACAGATACAGACTTTCATGATGTTGTTGTCTGATATGGGATTTGTTACACAGTATAAAATTATTCTTATCACTTTTGAATTGTAGAGTCCTATTTCAATGTTATGAGTCACTGTTGTTTTAAAAATCTCATTATTCCAAAATGATAGGCATGTACAAAAGATGTCTATGATGTAAGTGGTTACTATAATTTACACATCTTAAAAGTGTGTAAATGCTCAAATTTAAGAATTATTATCAGAACCTGAATTAACATTCCTTTGAATATCTTCATAGATGACAAATCTTCATTCAATGAAGATTAATTTTACTTTTCCAAATTGCCAGGACTGGTGAATATAAAGGATGATTTAACTGGAATACTATTGGGGGCCAAAGTAAACAAATGATTAAATTATGAAACTCCTATCCTTTTGAAGAGAAGCTACAAAAGAGACTTCAAAACTGCCTCTAGGCCATTGTAGCATCCTTAGAAAAGATTCTCTTGATCATTACCTTAAAACATTACCACTCATTTGACGACATAGATTTTATGTTAGTTAAAAAGATCAGTTTCGTGACTTTACAGTTATACTATAAACTATACAACTATATAGTTGTATTTAAAGTGTTTTTAAAAATATTTGGATATGTTGATTGGCCAAAAGTATTTGATTAATAAAACATGCATTTAAATAAATCATAAGCTTAAATAAATCATATCTTTTCAAATAGCTATCGATAAGTTTTAAAGCCAAAATATATAGCAAACCATTAACTTTTAGCAGGTGAGACATACGATTTCCGTATTTCTGAATAGCATTGATTATTCATTAAAATTAATTTTTTTGAGATTTGCCATTAAATATTTTATTTCAAAGACTGAAATTTTGTACCAAGTAGATTCAGGTTTCATATGCAAATATGTTGGTTCTTTTATTTGAGGGTGGGGCAAATAGATGAGTATTTGTAATAAACTTTCTAAAAACCCATAAAATGTGTTCATTGTTTTTATTACATTAGATAAGAAACTGATCAATAAAGAACCTTTTTAAACCTTGTTACAAACCCATAATAGAAAAAAATACATGAGTTACTGCTTATTCAGGAATATAGCCGCGAAAAATTATGGGATTGGTAATTTAATTATTTGTTTTCCCAGCACTTAATCAGGTTCCCTATAAATTTTTCTATCATTTGATGAATAGTATACCAATGAATTGTTCACAAACCCATCATACTTCATCTTCCTCATGAAATGGAAGTCTCTTGCTAATCCTAAATAAACTGATATTTCTGTTTTCAATTTTTTTAAATAAGAAAGTAAAACAATATAAATCACATGTACTTGGATACTGGTACCATGAAGCCAGACGAGAGTCCAAAATTAGTTTTGGAAAATGAGTATGAGAAGAGTAGTTGCTGATATTGGCATGGATTTTCTCATCAGTTAATCTGGAAAAATGACCAACCTCTAATAATAAAGCAGGTGTTTGGCTTTCTAAAATGCTTTTCATAGTTTTGAAGAACTTAAAAATCTCCTCTTTTCAATAGTCATCCACATCCCATTAATTTGTTTAGATGCCTTTCTTGGGAAGCTGTTCCAGTGCAGTGAAAAGGGCCCTGCCCTCCAGATTAGGCATCTGGATTCCAGTCTCAGCACTGCCATTACTGAGGTGTGTCACCTGCAAGGGGTTTAATCTCAGTCTCAGTTTTCTTATCTCTAATGAAAGAATTGAACTAAAGGATCTCAGGAGCTTCCCATCTCATTGCTTTCTGGGACTTAAGTAGGATAAAGACTTGCCTATGTATATGCAAACGAATCTAGCTGTTCAGACCAGGAATTTTTTAAAAATCACAAATTTTCTATCAGAGGGCTGATGTGCGATAAAGATAGTAACGAATACATTTACTTTTCAATCTTCAGTGGATTGTGAAAATGAGTATGTGCCTTTGATTCTCCATGATGGGGATTCCTAGACCTTTAACAATTCTGATTCTTTATTGTTGTTACATTTTCTCTGAAAATAATGTTTAATTCTATTTTTTAATTAATTAAAATATATTTTATTTGAAGATGTTTCTACCAAAATCACTGCTATAAGACCATAATCGTTGCCATCTTCATCTTTTGCCTAGCTAGTTGTCACAGCCTCTTAATGGGCCTCACTTCCAGCCTTCAATGATCTCCAATCCATCTTCCTTTTCAAAAAATAGAGTGATCTTATCAAAACTCCCCTGACATTCTCTTGCATAAAACAATCAATTGTATGTGACTGCCCTTAGACCAAAATCCAAACTCTTAAACTATGGATACAAGGCCTTCACTCTCAACCCATTGCTGTCTTCAGCCAGTGCCTACTCTAGCCCTCACTGAAGTGCCATTCTGTTCTTGTGTGCCCAACCCTCTCCTCTGTCCCCATGCCAGCGTCCCTCCTCGTGGCCTGTCCCACCCCCACTTCTAAAACTCCTCCACATCAAGTGCCTCTTCTCTGTCTTCAGATAAAATCTTGTGCAAACCCCTATTATCACTTCCCACATGGTAAAACTAACCCTGTTAAACCCTTCTAGACTGCTAGATGGTCTTTGAGAACCAAAAACATGACTTCATCTGTGTTTCTGGAGATTCTGAAATGATGCCCAGCAGTCAGTGAGCTCAATCACTATTTTCTGAATGAATGACCATGTGCATAAATAATTGAAGAAAACTAGGAATGACTGCAGAGCTGAGATGGGAATCACATTTCAACTTCATAATTTTCTTTATTTTCAAGAGAGGTTTGAAATGTACTGATTCTAATAAGATTTCCTTTCTCGCCATTTTTCTCACTCATGAATCATCAAGTTGGGACAACAAAAATGTATGTAAAACAGGTTAGGTGTATTTCATCCTTTGTGGTAATGCTTGTCCTTACTCTCAATTCTCTTATTTGAATGAAATGTATTTTCACATCTCAGTGGTAGGAAATACTAGCACTTAAAAGCTCATTTGGAAACATTCTGGTATTTTTTAAATATTGCTATTTCTTTTACTATCCTATTTCTCATTTTGAAATGTATAATAGTAAAAGACTGTTTTATGGAGTTTTACATTTTAGAAAACACAGTCCTATACATCGTCTCATTTGAATCCCAGGACAAATTAAATAGCATACTAATCATATAAATAATGGCTCAGTTTCTTTAGCTTGCAACTTTGTCATTTTAGAATGTTTATTTAAGATAAAAAGAGCTTAAAGAATGTTAAAAAGGCTACATATTAAGAAACTTAAAAAAAAATGTAGGTAGTACTGCAGTGAAAAATTACCACCGCTAAATGCAACTTATCACAAACCAGGATTTAGTATATTTCTTTCCTTCAAGGTATATCTATGTGTATGGAAGGACAAGGGAAAGAATTAAGGGATGAGGAAGCAGAGGATAAAGATATACTAGATATTCAGGCAATAATTTTTAGGAATACAAACAATCCAGGCTTCCATAATTTAATCATCCTAGTTTCCTCTCCCTGTTCACCCCCAAACGGCAAAATGAGCAAAAGAAGGGACCCTTTGTTATATTTTTAAGACATTTTTGTACCTGCTCCTCAGCCTTTTTCTTTGGACTGTATCTGAACTACCACCAATGGAACCTTACACTTGGATGCTTGTTTAAGTAAAAGATGCCCTTGGGTGGGGTAACATTTCAATCTATGACCAGTCATCCATTACTTTATGTGAATGAAGGACCTGAGAAGGGGATATTGAAAACTACATAAGGGACCTGAGAGTGAGGGCTTTGACCTGAGCTCCACATGAGAGTACCAAAGAGGAAGCTGGGACAGAAAAAGGGAAAATAGGAGGCTCCAAAGTCACAATCCTCACCCATCACAGCTTTGCTTTTGGACATTCTGCCCCCAAATCTCCAGTGAAGGGGACAATGGAAAACGAATAGGGATAAACGGAGTTGAAGTCATCTAAAGACTTTTCTTCTTACCATAAAGAAAGGTTACTTATGTCTTATTGAAGGAAAAGGGCCCTGGAAGCGGGTGTGAAGGCTCTGCTACCACCATGTGCCCTAAAGACAATGCTTTTGAAAAGCAAAAGTTAAAGTAAAAACGGAACTACAACTTCTGACCATCTGTCTCTCTCCCACATTGCCTCTCTGTGCTATTGACTGTTGCCATGTGTCTGTAGCAAAGAAAGAAGACCTTGCAGCAGTCAGAGAAATCAGAGGACACCACTTCAACAATTATCCAAAAATAGGACAGAGACACCTATCCGCCTGCACTTGGACGTGTTAGGTCACTCAGCTTGGCTGCACGGCTGGAGAAGTGGTTTTTGCCATTATAGGAAAAGGTAGGGGGGAAAATGATGAAAGAAAGGAAGA